AAACAAAAAAAAAAAAAAACCCTAAAAAATTGTTTGAGGCAAATGATTTTTAAGCTCTTATTTTTCATATCGTGGCTTTTTTAATAGTGTACATATTATTTTTTTCAAATATTCTTAGCCATTACCTACAACATTTCTCAAGCCACCAAACCATTTCGACTAACAGTTTTCCGAAGATAAGCTTAATGTTTTTATAGGCCCTTTTCGAAAATAAGGCTTGAGTCAAAATTGCAATTTGAAGATGGAAAATAGAATTTTTGGGCAAAATGAACGTTTCGGCTAAAAAAAATCCTTGATTAGTTTTCCGTCGACCTTGTTTTCCGTGCTGAGCACCAATCCTACCGACGCCAGGAAGGCAGCTTCCACACGTGGACCCTACTTATCGACCCATCAACTCATGAGCCGGGGATCAACGGCTTTACTTCCCTTCCGAAGGAAGACGTCATCAGAGATGTTATGCCTTAGAACATCCCAGCGGCACCGACTGGGATTAAACCCAGGCCTGTTGGGGTGCGAAATAATCACGCTTACCACTACATCACAGTTATTAAATTTTGCAAACATTTCAATTTACAGGGCCTTACAGAATCACACGCTTGCAATAAGATGAAGGAATCCAAATTGTGAAAGTTTCTATCAAATTTAAGCCGTTTTGTTTCGCTGTTGTAGAGTTTTCTTACTGCACTGTGGCGACTCTGGCCAGGTATACCAATTTATCGGTATTTGTACCGATTTTCGGACTTGATACCGATACTCCGATAAGGCTCCCCATAATACCGATTTTTGAGATTTTATACCGATTTATACCGATTTTTAAACAATCAAAATGACTATTGCCTGCCCACGCAAAAATGTCAGAATTGTGAGTGACTGCTTCGACTAAAAGCTTCTACCGATGTCCACCGAAAGTTTCTTTCGACATCACTCAGAAATCTCATTCTGCCGGCATTTTAATCCCAACTTCTTCTAGCAGTTTCTATCGACTGACCCAAAAACCCTCAGGCTTCCGCCGGAAGAAGCTTCCAGTTTTCTCCAGAAGTTTTATCCAAATTACCTCAGGAAGTTTTTTCCAGCGCCTCCAGAAAGTTTCATTCGCCTTCTCCAGGAAGTTCCTTCAAACTTCTACCGAAAATATCCATCAATTTTTTCCAGCAGTTGATTTCGTTTTCCTTTTGAAGTTTCTCCAGGGGCTTCTTCTGGAGTTTTCTACCGAATTCTATTGAAATGTTTTTCCGAGCTTCTTCTAGCTTCCCCTGAAAATGGCTACTCCTGGATTGTTCTTCAGATTTCCGAAACTTGTCTGGCCTTCTTTGGATGTGTCATCCGATTTTTCCAAAAGTTTCTTAAAATTTTCCAAGAAGTTTCTCTTTATTTATGATTTTTCTTAGCCCTTTCTTCAAACTTCCTCCAGAATAGCATCTTGTTACATTTTCTGGAAGTTTTTTCGATATCTTTCAGAAACCAAATCAAACATTCTACGGAAATGTTTTTAATCGTTCCTGGAGGGCCTTTTTTATGTCCAAATGTTTTTTGTTTGTTTATTGGCTTATAAAACGGCAAATTTATAAAATTTATTAAAACAGAAATACCGACAAATATTGATTATTTAAAACCATTGATTCCGATACGCTTAAAATCAATCTGGCAACGCTGGTCCAGCATCCTTGCCGGCTGGATTCCAGCAGCCAGTTCGCTGTGATCAGGACATTTAATTTTTTGTTAACAAACTTGTTACAGTACATCGGTATCATAATAAACAAGGGGTCCCAACTTTTTCGTGTTAAAAAATCAGGATAAGCCTGCACCGAATATTTGCCCAGTGGTGCAGCCAATTTAAAGATTAAATAGCTGCGTTAGGTGTGCCCTACCAATGACATCCAGGGAAACGATTCCCGCAAATTTCACCAAAAATCACGATGCTCAATTCTAGGGAAATGGCGTTTTCACTGAAAATATAGTACACGAACCAGAAAGCCATTCCCGGGAAATGTTAAACGTAGATCTATCAATAAATCACGAGAAATTTCAAGTGTATACTGATGGTTACTTTTTTGAGAGGTTTAAAAGAACTTCCAGCAAAAAAATTCCGGTGAAAGTTGATAGAAAATCCGCGGAAGTTGACAGAATCTGTCGGGAGATCATAATCCAGGATAAATTAGAGGTGTTTTTTGGAACCGAACGGATGAAACTATCAGAAAAAAAACATTAGAGCTACTGAGGGAAGCCAGAACGAGTTTCCTGAAAATATTGCAAAAATCTTCCGGTAACAGTCAGCAGAAAGTCCTGAAGGAAGCCGGAAAAACTCATGGATGATGTTGGAAGAGAAATTTCCGAAGGAAGCCGTAAGAAACATCCTAATGAAGCTGAAACCAGCTTCCGCAAAAGATGGGATACATTTTCCGGGAAAAATTGGAATAGCCTTAGTTTTTTTTTTCTCTACCGAGCTCGGCTGTGCAAATCTCGGCAAAAATAAGTTTCACTGAGATCTCAGCAAAAGCGACATTTGATTGCTGAGTCTCGGATAATGCTCAGCTGAATCTCAGCAAACCGCTTTGCTGAGATGTCAGTAAAACCTTTTTGCCGAGATTTGCACAGCCGAGATTGATAGAAAAAAAAAAACTAAGTGTGTGAGATAAATCAGAAAAAAACTTCGGGAATAGTTTGGAGACTCTTTCAAAGGAAGTCGGAAAAATCTTCCAGGAGAAGTCGGATCTGAGCGGCACCGGTGGTGTAGTGGTAAGCGTGATTACCGCTCACCCCAGCAGGCCTGCGTTCAATCCCAGTCGGCGCCGCTGGGATGTTCTGAGGCATAACATCTCTGATCACGTCTTCCTTCGGAATTAAGGCACAGAGAACAGACATCCAGTCAAATTTCTAAAGTGTGTAAAAAGTTAACTGCTATTTTGAATAGATATTTGAAATGAATTCCTGGAAGAACGGATGCAGGGCAAGGAGTGTTCAAATCTCACCACATTGTCTACACAACTCGGTTGATTTCCGTTGTTTTGTTTTGTGTTTGTTTTGAAATTATTTGACAGTTCATTTGAATACACGGTCAATAAGGTCAACCCAAATTATTATTTTAATTTTTAAATATTTTATTAAGTGTTCGCCAAAAATTTATTTTAAGTCGGATTTTCTTGAAACTTTCAGGGAATGAACTAATGGATTATGTTTCGGAATAATTACTTTATTCAATTACCTTTCCATCGCTGAAAGCCCGCACCTTTCCCTTAAGACCCCTCATTACATTTTGTGCAATGGTGGAGCCGACCTTTTTGGTCACTTTCATCCATTCTTTCTTCAACTCCAGCTCGTTCTTAAACACCTTGGACGATTTTCGAACCTTCATTATGGCCCATAATCTTTCCACCGGACGAATCTCTGGTGAATTTGGGGGTTGGCGGTTTTTGGTACAAAAACAACGTTATTGTCTCTGTAATCCAACGTCTCCAATCCAACGTCTCCAATCCAACGTCGATCGCGCGTAATGGCATGATGCCAGGTCCAGCCAAAATAATGTCTCGCCTCCGTGGGACCGCAGGAAGGGCAGCAGACGCTTCTGGAGGCACTCGGTGCGGTAAATTTCGCTGTTGATGGTACCCATTGTGATGTACGGTTTACTCAGTTTACCGCATTGGCATATGGCCTGCCAGAGCAAGTATTTGTTGGCGAATTTGTCAACTTTCTTCTTCCTTATGTCTTCCGGAACATCAAACCGTGATTTGGCAACGTAGAACTCCAGCCCCGGTATCTGCTTTGCGTCTGCCTTGATGTAGGTTTCGTCATCCATAACCACACACATCGGTTTCGTTAACCACTCTCGATACAGCTTCCTTGCGCGGGATTTGGTTGCCGTGTTTTGTTGATCACGCCGGTTCGATGCCTTCCGGACCTTGAATACACGAAGCCCAGCTCTTTCCATGGTTTGTTGAACGAACCAGGCGGAACACTTTGCCTTCAGAGCCGCGTCGCGTTTCGAAAGGTTCGGATTACGCTTGAAATAGTCCAATACCTTCCGGGCCTTCACAGAGTCAGCTGTCTTCGATTTTCTTCCACTTCCAGCCCGCCGCTCGGTCGTCTGGGACTCCTTAAACGATTTTACCACCCGAGACACAGTTGTATGGGTGATTCCCAGTTGTCGTCCGATCCATCTCATGGTCGCAGTCGGATTTTCCATGACGGCGCGCAAAATTCTCCGGCGATTTTCTTCTTGTTTCGATGACATCTCAATAACCACTTAACCGATTGTTATGAAATTTTGCACATGTAAACAATTCACTCCAAACTACCCACGGATAAAAAAGTTACACACGGATAAAACTGATGCATTTTTTTCAAGTACAAGCGTTATTAAATTCAAATCAATCAAACGCACTTATCGTTGAGTTGCATATTTTTCGGTCTCAGTACACTAAATTTTACATGACTTAACACTCACTACACTACAAAACATGTTTTTCGGTATTTTGGAATCATTGGATGCTATTTACGGATATTTTGTACTTGTCAGCTACAAGAAGAGGTTGTAAAATATTTATTTGACACATTAAATATGTGTCAAAAACTCGCTACCAGAGAGTCACAATCAGCGATTTTATGATTCGTGAGACGCTTTCATAAAGTGCAAATGCTAGATTTTAGAAATAATTTCCATAATTGTGTTTTTACCCGACACAATTGCTCGTTTCCGTAACCGTTGCGATTAATTTACAAACTTTCATCGTAAACAACCCAATCGGTTGCTATTTTTAGTTCAAAATAATCCTCCAAATGCCTCGCTAAATTGAGATTTTTTTCCTTTCACACCATTGCGAACTAAATGCTATATTAAACCATAATAAGTGTCTACAAACTCCTGAATAGCAATTCTTTATATTTCTGTGCCTCTCTTAAAGCACCACCGCTCCGCATCTGGTATATTGATCAGTAAAATGAATGAGAAAAGTTTGCCTATTAAAATATTTTTTCCTTTTCTCTCTCTGCATTTTTCATTTCAGGTAAATAACTTACCGAGCCCAGAAGAATCGCTTTTTCCCCACCACTGACTGGATCCAGGAGGAGAAGTAATTGGCACACGCCGAGAAAGGAGAAAGTTTTCCGAAAGGTATAGTGTATAGAGTTTTGATTAAACTTCAGTCCCTGGTTCAGTTTTTCATCGCCACCGGTTCCTATCCTGTGAAAAAGTGAAAGTCCTTCTCCGATGCGATGTGGGTGGGTGGTGGAAAAATGTTGCTTCATCAAAGTAAATATTCTCCAATTGGATGGGAAAGAAGCGGTTCTGTATGGACTGATGATCGTTCCGACTTGTGTGCTCTGGGCGCTGGCACTTCGACGAGGTATATTATTTTGTAAACTTTGCAGACATTGCTGTTTGTTAGTTGCTCAAGTCAATTAGATACGGGAGTTTGTTCCGATGAATTTGCAACAATGTGTTGTGCACGTTTGGGTGGGGATCGGTTGCCATAGTTTTGCTGGTGTTTTTGATCCGATAATGAGCTACCATGGCTGGTAGATGTGTTCACATTCTTCTGCACCAACTTCTATGTTTTCTATATGAAAAACAACCTATACTTTGAGTTCCAGTTCGAATCATTAAATTGGTGAGAAGGTTAATATTCCTTCAGTACATTTTCTGATGTCATCATCAAATGCGCCATTTAACGTTTTTCGATTTACAATGGAATTAATTAACTTTCGTATTCATAACCCTTTTCATAACCTACTTTTTTACCGGCTCGACACAATTTCATTCTGTCTCATTGAGCCTGCTGCCGTCAACTTCAAAAAGCATTCTTGCTTCTCTCAACTAATTGGTGAAAATGTAACTCACTTGTTCCTTTCCGCTCGGCATTCTTTTCCCAAGGAACCGCAAGCAGTGGGGAATTCTTTCCCACCATACCAGCAGCAGTATACATGTAGTCTGATTCAGTCCAGCTCAACGGAGATGGTGCCACGTTGATAACCTTAAATGTTTGTGTCCTTTCCGAAATGCACAAGTCGTGCTCGAAACGAGCAACTCTGATTTCCCAGAACATTAGTCTCATTATTTGCTGGCCCCGTTGTTGCTCGTCTACTGCTGCTGCTTTCCCAGATGATGCTGGAGGTAGCTCGGCAGCTGTAGTATGATTATAATATTTCCATGTTCTTCTGCAGTGGTTCCCACGGCCAACTGACGGCCGGTAGCCACGGGCATTTCCCAGGTCCAACTTCCGCTCGCAAAAATAAACTGTTTATGAGTTGAGGTTTATTTTGAACCTCCCACGCCACCGTGCCGCTCCACGTGCCGTCGGAATCATCGTAATGTGAAGGTGCTGGCTACCGTAAAACCTAAGAGCCCCCTGCGGGAATGCGGAAAAGTTTAGCACAAGAAAGCTGCGGCAAAACCCAAGCTCATCTCCTCCGTTCGGTTTGTACTTGGTTAGTTTGTGTGTGATTGAGAGTGCAGCAGCAGCGGCAGTGGTCTCCCAGGTTCAAAACGACATTCCACAAACGACACCCTTGGCCGAAGCACGGGGATGGTGCGACTACACAACAAACAACACTGGGAGTACAAAATTCGGAGCTTCCGGAGATGAAATATGGCTACCAGGAGGCTTGTATTTCAGCACAAGCTGGATGGGTAGTTGGTTGTAGTTTTTTGCTTTTATAGTTCAACCTAGGGGCCATTGGTTGGAGACTTGTGGTTCTTATTCACGTTCGCTGTTTTGGAAAACCATATATTCATGTTTATGGGTGATAGTACGAAAAAAGTTTCTGGAATAATGTGTCCCGCTAGTTGCGTTCCGCATTCACGTACGCTGGAGAAGGTGTGTATCCACAGAAGAACTAAGGCTGCAGACTGCACCTTGGAATAGGTATCTTACTATTACAGTGTTGCTAATTTCGGGTAAATGATAGAGATAATGCATTTATTATTAGTTGATATTGGAATGTGCATGAACAACATAGCTAGAAGTGGACAGTTAATAGTTCAGAATGTTGTTAAACTCCAAGATCGCAGCACATTGAGATATTTGGATAGTGCCAAGTTCTCAAAGGCTTTTCAAAGTCTTCGATTGTTTTTTGACGTAGACTACGTCTTACGGGAAGGTACTGGGGGTAAATCGAAAATCTAAAATTGCCACCGTCACGAAAAGGTGTAATTTTTTGAACGCTATTAACTTTGTCATTTATAGATGAAATTAAAATCCGAATACACCAATCGATAGGAAATACCTTTGGTAAGCCGTTGCAATAATTTTTTTTTTCAATTTTTCATAAAGATCTGTTTTTAAAATGGACAATTTTATCACTGTTCTCATGAAATAAACGTTCTAACCAAACCCAGTCCTCATAATCAAGTTCAATTTGGTTGCACATCGTGCTGCTTAAAAGTAGTAAAACAGCGATGCTAATGTGCCTCACCTTATTTTCGCTTCGGACGGCGGGTAAACAGGTAGCAGCAGCAACAGTAGAAGCAGTAGAAAGGCGGTTGCGAGCTACCAGTTACGCCAAATCAACGATCAAATGTGTTGTTTACAAAAGCTGATACGTCCCTTCGAAAAAGTAATCGAGAAATACTTCTTGGGCTGTGTACCAATTGCTGGGTTAAATTTAACTCGTGGTTAAACGTGACATATCGTAAGCTATTTTCAATGTTCGAAAATGCCGGAAATTGACCAGTTTTCAAACAGAACTCAGCCACGGTTACCAAAATTTAACTTCTAGTCGGTCCAAAATAACCACGCTCGTATAGCAGGGTTATTCGATAACTCATCTGTCACTTTTAACCATGAGTTAAATTAAACTCACCCATTGCGACACAGCCTTGGAAGTAAAATTAGGGCCATCCATAAATTACGTATATTTTTGACCAATTAACCCCCCTTCCCCCTCGGACCGTGTTTTGCAATACACCTTATACATGGCCAGTCCCAAATTCTGAAACCCCTCTCCTTCCTTAACTACTACTTTATTTATGAAAGTTCCCTAATCATTGGGCAACACTGAAAGACAGCAGCACACACCACACAAAATGGGTTGGACATTTATGCGAAATTTCGGTATAGTCATGTCAGTAGTATAGTCGGTTAAATAAAAATGATTTTTCCCCATACAGTTTTACCTGATTTACTACCAGCCCCCATAGAGCCAAACAATTCAAATTTCAGAGAGAAAATTTCCTCTCACCACTTACTTTAACATTTAAAATCCCTCCTTTTTTACATATTCGCTCCATACATAAAATTTGGCGGGAAATTATGTAAGGGATGAGCTATTTTGTGTGCAGCATGTGTAAAAAAGGAGGGACTTCGAATAATAATCTAAATGCATATATAGAGACACCAGACATGGTTTGCACTGCAGTGTCCTCTGTGAACAATTATAGGAAAACAGATTGTGCCTAGTTTCCGATAAATGTCGACGCAAACAACAGCTGTGACATCTGATGGAACATGAATGCAGAAGCTTGACAAAATTATCACTTCCTACCAGCGGAACAGCGCCATCTCTGTGGAAAGTGGTCGGACGAAATGATTAATTCAAGTTGAACATTGCATTAGGTTCTAAGTAACACTGACAAGATTCTCTTCGTCAACTTTCTCCTTGAATCCACTCGGCCCAGGTATTTTCTACACACATTTCGATAAAAGAAGTTTTTATCTAGCATCTAATACGACAAACACAACAAGAAACGATTCAGTGCTCCAGTTTTAAAGCTGTGTTCCATTTGGTGAATTTTTACTTAAATTTGACAGATGGAAAATTTTCAAATAAACCTCCTATTCCAGCAGACTTATTTCTGACAGACAGGAATCAATTTGACAGACGCTTTCTCGAAAATCGGCCGATCTACAACAGAGGGATTTTCGAACATCTTAATTTATTTTCGAAGTGTCAAATCTAAGTGAAAATTTTCCAAATGGAACACAGCCTTAGTATTTTTTTTTTATTTGTTCAATCGGTAGATAAAAGATGTACCGAGAACTTATTGGAGGGATTCATAGCTAATTGCATTTATTTTTAGCGTTTTGAAGTTGAATCGCTGAGGATCAATCTCATTACCATAGAAAAATTTCAAGAGTACAGATATCAGCTATCACAAAACTTATAACAAAGAAACTGGAACTTCACGTTTGTTGCAGTCCAGTACACAAGGAGTTTCAATTTCATGAGTGATGTCACAACCGTCCAAGATTTGTGTCCTAGAAATCTTGAAGTGATAGGGAATATCAGCCATCATGACGGTCATTGTTGGACGCTTCAATGAATCACCTGAAGTAAGCCTTACTCAAATCTGATTGTAGTTTAGGAACCAAAGGAAATAGAATATGTATTCGCATTTTTATGAGGTCCTGAATTTAACCAAGTTTTACTAAGTAGGAAATCCAAAATATGTACATAGGATCGAAATCTTAGGTTACTTCTACTGTATTTTAAATCAATATCTAGAAAAAATGCACGAGAATTTCACTACACAGCTTAACGTAGTCTACGTCAACCCTGCGGTCATGTCTTGTACACAACCCCACCATTTTTTTTTTAAATTTCAAATTACAGAATTATGTCATTTATTTCGAAGGCATGGCATGCTTCTGGGACGCTTAAGAAAAATTTAAGAAGGAGAAATATAGATGAAGGTTTTGGAAGTGGTTTTGCAAGTTTTGGAACTTTGAAAATTTTATATCCCGAGGCTGGAATCTGGGAATAAGGAGAATCTTCAAGGCTTCGGGAGATATTTTATTTTATTCTTGCGTAAGAGTTTTTATTTTTAGATTCTGGATCATGGAGAGAATATAATTCAAAGAGAAACGTTATGACGATAAATATTCTCTCATTCCTTATTTGACAAAAAATATCAAAATTATGGGGTTATCTGAATGAGTTTGAAAATTATCAAGCCTTCTACAGAGCAGTTCCTCAGCAAATGACTAATGACGCATAATTGTTTGCTGTAGTCATCCATTTACATTTAAGCAATAATTCGACCATTTTTAATCTCGCAAAGAAAACGTTAAAATTGCGAATACGGAAATATTCAACAAGTCATAGCTCGAAAACGTCACTGTTTGTGCAATGACATATATATGTGCAACTACTCTACCCATTGTACCACTACAA